CTGAGGCCGCAGAGGCCAGCCGGTACAGACCACCTGGGGAACAGAGAATCACCCAGCACAGCAGTTAGAGGGGCAGCCGGGAAGGGCTGGAAACTTCTAGAGGCCAGTCCTCAGGCAGGACACACAGAGGAGGGCCCTCGGCTGGGCTGAGGCCCACCCACGGCCCTCTGGCGCTCTCTGCAGCAGACCCCAGATGGACATGGGGCAGGGGCTTCCAGGCGAGAGCCTGTGTGGGAGAACCCTGGAGGGACAGGTGTGAGCCCTGCTTCTCATTCATTCATTCATTCATTCAGCAAACGCTTCCCCTGCCACTTCCATGTGTTAAGCAGTGTCAGCTCTGGGGACCCAGCCATGAGTCAAACGGACAACAGCCCCCCTTGAAGAGAAGGAGGCAGTGACTATGTGGAAGTCAGAAACCTTAAACAAACACATCCCCTCCAAAGACGGGGCATGGCCGCGCGTAGGGGTGGACCGGGGCAAGGCTTGGCCCCAGCCAATCAGAGACAAGAGGGAGCCTCAGAGCCTTGACAGTAACCCTGGCTTCTGCATGGGGGTCTTCGTGCAGGCATTCCGCACGCTGGTGTTGTGCGCTGGTGTGTGTCGAAGTATGTTTCTCTGTATGTGCACCAAGTGTGTGTGTGGGCAGGGAGGGTGTGTGGACATCTGTGTGTGTGTGTGGGGTAGGTGCTGGTGTGCCCATGCCTGGGTCATGTGCCAGGCATTGTCTGTGGGGTGTGTGGGTGTGGGGGGGTGACCCACTGGGTAACTTGTTCAGAATTCAGAGGTGTCCCAGAACACAAGATAGCAGTCCTAAAACCTGACCCACTGTGGGCAAATTCGGACAGTGGTGGGAGCCGCAGCCTGCAGGGGTAGACAAGAAAGAACTGAGCAGCTAGTCCAAGGCTAACCAAAGACCAGCCGGAGACAGCCTCCCGCGAGGCCGGACCGAGACTCTGAGGCCTAGGGGCTGCAGAGCAGGAACCCTCGGGGCTCCTGGACAGAGCAACCCATGCGTGGGGTCAGCCAGACCTTGGTGTGGCCCTGTGGTCTACTTCTTAGCAACTCTGCAGCCTTGGGTGGGTCCAAGCCTTGGTTTTCTCCTCTGTGAAATGGAGATCAGCACCCCGACTGCCCGCTCCGCCCTGAGAACCGAGTAAGAAAGGAGAGCACAGAGCTAGGTGTGCAGTGGAGGACAATAGCTCCTGCAGGCTGGGGCCGAGGGCACTCCGTTCAAGAGCAAACGGGCCGGCAGCACCTCGGGTCACCCTCTCGGCCCGGTCACTGTTCACACGCCAGAATTCCCTGCCTCACCAGCGGCCCCTGGCACACCTGGCTGGCCTTGGCCTGGTCTCCAGGACTCTGGCCCTGAGTCAGCCTTGCTGTTCCCAGGGACGCAGCTTCCGGCCGGGTCATCCAGGGCTCAGGACCGGGCCCTTCGCCCTTTCCCAGGGCAAGTCTGCGGCTCACCCATCATCACTTCATTAGTGTCCCTCCCCGAGGGCTGGGATTGAGAAAGAGCTGGGTAGGAGGGGGAGGCGGGTTAGGAAGCCCGATTTGTGTCCCCACTCCAGGTCCGCAGATGCCTGGCATCCTTGGAGCTGTGGCATTTCCGGACCACAGGGCCTCAGACTCTCACATGCGGCCTTGCGGCCTTCTACTGCAAAGTGGAGGAGGTCGTCGGCCCTCCCCGGCGCCCTCGCCTTTCCCCCACGCCAGCCCTGCCGGGGGCACAGGGCAGACCCAGCGCCTCCCCTGAGCCTTGGGAGGTGGGAACCCAGGTGGGCAGCCCCGGGGGAGGCAGAGGCAGGAGCGCAACTCTGCGGAAAGAGCGCTGGCCTTCGAGGCGCGTACTGCACTACCGAGCGGCCGTCAGTCCCCAGGCACGCACCGTCAAGTCGGGCGCGGGGGATCCCAGGCCACAGTCCCGCTTCCAGGAAGCTGGCAAGGCCGGAGAGGACTCCCGAGGGCCCTGGCCCAGACGGGCACGCAGAAGGTGACGGGTCGGGGTTGGCGGCCAGGCCTCACCGCTCCGGGAGTTGGCACTGCAGAAGAGGAGAGGACCCGACCCCCGCTTCCGAAGTTCCGGTCCAGGCGTCCCCAGCCCCCGGCCGGAGCGGCACTCCTGCGCTCCATTTTCCCCGTGGGTCCCTCGGTCAGCGCCAGCTCCAGCCTGCGCGGGCTGGGCGGCCGTGGCCCGGCCCCTGGCCTGGAGCGCCATCTCGTGGAGCCCGTGGGGAGTTGCCGCGGTCTGCGGGGTGTGGGGGCTCCAGGCTCTCCCGGGCCAGCTAGCGACTGGCGCGGAGGTAAAGAGCGGCGGCCGTCGGCTCTGGGAATTCGGTACTCTCGGAGTGGGGTCGGGGTCCCCCGATCCACCGACTTACGTGGGGGTCGATTTGCAGCTCCAGGGAGCCTGCAAGGAACTCCAAGGGCAGAGGAGCCCCGCTGTGCCCGGACAGAGGCACTAATCTTTCAGTGCGCGGGGGTGGGGGCGGGGTGGGGGGCAGCCTGCCTCACCAGGGTGCTCCCTGGAGGAAGCGCTCCCCTTTGCCCTGTCCCCAAGCGCGCACGCGTCCCCGTCGGCTGCTGCCCAGCTCCTAGGGCACGGAGCGCTCGGGCCCCTGCTGGACGCTCCTTGGCGGGCTGGTGCTCCGGCTTCTGGGGTCCAGGACGGTGAGGGAGGGGAGGACGCGGGGATGGGATTTTGGAGCCGGAGGGAGGCAGGCGCGGAGTTCACACCTCGGTCTCTGACACTCAGGGAGACGTCCCGTCCCGGGTTCCCGAGCCGGGAGTTCACGTGAGGCCGAACACACCCCTTGCTCCGCAGCCACCGCCCAGGAGAGGGCAAGGCCCGGCCACCAGAGCCCGGGACCTCCTCCCGGTAACCCCAGAGGAACTGAGGCCCCCTGCGCCTCGGGATCCGGGACGTTTGGCCGCCAGGGGTCTCACGGAGCTCCCATCCGCAGCCTCGGTCCTCAGGTTCCCCTGCGACTCCCACAGCCCCACAGTGACCCCGCGGGGCCTTCTCAGCCCCCACACCTGGGACACGCAGGGTCCCCCGGCGACGAGCGAGGTCACTGGCGGCGACCCCTCAGCTCCCACCGCCTCGGCGCTCGCCCGCCATGCCGGCTGGGCCCGTCCAGGGCGCCCACCTCACCCCGCTCCCCGCGATAGGCTCTGAAGGGTTAAGGAGGCCTGGGGGCTCCGCAGCAGGCGAGGACGCGGGGCGCCTGGGCTAATTGGCGACCCCGGGGACAATGGGGACTGGCAGGCTGGGGAGGCGGGTGACTTAATTGGGCCTGGGAGTGGCCTGGCCTTTGTTTGGGACGAGGCCTTGTCGTTGGCAGTGGGCTCCCGTACCCGCACTCGGATTCGCAGCTGGGGCCCAGCGTAGAGCGCCGGGTGGGAGACTTGGGGAGGGGGCGACTCCGCAAGCTGCACTCAAGGCCCCGGAAGACCTGGTCCTACCCGCGTCGCAGCAGCAACCACACGGCCGGAACGCACCGAAACGAGGCGGCGCTCGCGGCCGTCGCAGCCCCACCCGGCTCCGGCTCCCGGGCTGCTCCTCCCAGGGCCTCAAGGCCGTGCTGCCCCCTGGTGTCCGCAGCCCGGTCCGCAGGCCGCGCTCGGCTTCCCGGGCCTGCTGCGAGGGGAGGCGGCGGGAAGCCAATGCGCACCCTCCTACCGCACGCTCTCTGCTTTTTAGAGGCACGTTAGCCTGAAACGACGTCGAGTGAAAACCCGGTGCGCCTGTCTGTACCGGGAAAGGGGCGTCCCCGTCCCCGCCCGGGCCCCTGGATCCCCCTTCCTCGTCCCGCCTGCGGGCCGCAGACAGAGAGGCTGGAACCCATCTTCTAGAAGTCGGGACGGAATCTTCTGCACCCTCTCCTGCCCCAGCCGAGCGCCCCTCGCCAGTCCCCCACCCCTGGCCGAGGTGGTGGGCACGATCCTTTCCTTGCAGACGTGATGGCGCTCGGAGGCTCCGGAATGGCGCGTGGCACCTCTAACTTCCCCTTCCTTCCATGCCACCATCCCTGGTGTTGCCTGGGGAGCCGGAAGCCAGCGCCTCCACCGACCCCCGCCGTGCCCAGGTGGGCCGCCTGCTCAGCCAGAGCGTCCAGGCTTAGGGAAGAGAGAACTAAGAGGAGGATGGGCTGCCTGCCTGGTGCCGACAGACGCAAGGGCGCGTTGAGGCGGCGCTGGCCCATCTCCCTCGCCCGCCACGCGCACCAGGGGCTGAACACGTTGTGGGCCGCCGCGCTCGGGAGCTGCTCAGGTGGGCAGCAGGCCTTGCAGGAGTGGGTCACCGGGAAGGAGCAGCCTACGGGAGACCTCCACGGCAGCCACGCCCCTTATTATACAGGGGAAACTGAGGCGGGGAAGGACTGGCTTGCTGACCATCCCACCCTCCAAGAGGGATTTAGATGATTTTCAAGAAGGAACTTTGATCCCTGACACGGAAAGTTCCTCTTCAAGGTTCAGAAGGGCACAGGCAGTAGAGGGGAATCGGGGGATCCGCGGCATTTGTGGGGGCCACAGCCAAGCCTGTCCTCCGGAGGGAGAGATTTAGGCGAGGAGTACCCATTTTCCCAGCCCGTCCACCCAGAGGCGTCGAGTTTGCACTGTGCTGTCCCAGCAAAGGGACTCAGAGGCCCGGCCGCCTGCTGCGCTTGGCCCCGCTCCGGCGCCCAGGCGGGAGGTGCGCGAGCAGGAGCGGCCGGTGGCCAGCGAGCGGCCAGCAGAGGGAGCCCGGTGCCCCGGCCCGGCGCGCGCTGGGGGCACGAGGGGCACGAGGCGGCGCGGCGCCGCCTCGCCGGGCCCGCGCCCCGCGCCGGCGCCGCCCGGCCTCGCGGCTCCGCACGCGGCGGCCCCGCCGTGCGGCCGCCCCCCGGATGCAGCTGCCGCCGCGCGAGGGGCGCCAGCCTTTCGTCCCCGCCTCTCGTTCCTCCTCACGCGCCTGCGAGCGCCCCAGCCCCGCGCGGCCCACAGAGCGCACTGCGCCGTTCTCTTCGCATGGTAGCGTTTTATTGTTTTCTCGCGTTTTTGTCGTTTCGTTCTCGCTCCGCAGCGAAAAGTGAAAACCTGAGGTGGAGCCCGCGAGCCGGGCGAGCCCAGCCCGGGCGGAGGGGCCGAGGGGCCGGCGGGGTGGGGGGCTCCTCCTTGGCGCGGGGCCTTCTCCCGCAGCCAGGGACCCCCAGCCCTGTACAATATAGATGCTCATGTAAAATGAAAAAAAAAATTTAAATGCTATGAGTTAATCTCTAAATATATGTACACAGCAATGTACACCTTTGAATAAATTAATACCAATTTGCATATTCTGGGGACCTTAAAGCTTATTTACACAAATTACCATTTATTTCATAAATATCTTTCCCCCCCTGGGGACTCAAGGCAGGGGTGGGAAGGGCGCCTGTCTATCCAGGGAAGAGGTGGGAGACCAACAGGACAGGTCCCCTCCCAGCCTAAGTCTACACTGACTTGTTTTCTGGCTCCGGCCCCCTGCAGCCCAGTTTCTCACGCGGTCCAGGCCCAGGGCCAGGGCCTCCGGAGCTTCCTCCAAGAATCCCACCCCCGGCCCCTGCGCCTTCTGGCTTCCGTAGGGACCGCTGGGCCCGGGGAGAGGCCTGCCCAGCAGCGTGGGAGGCCCAGAGAGACCTCGCTGATGCCACTCTGACGCTGGAGCGGACCTGGACCGAGTCCAGGAGCCCCAAAGTGACCATGTTCCCGGCAACCTGATTCCCTGTCGAGGGCCAGGGAAGTGCCCCATGCCCCGGCTGGCCAGTGGAGGCTCTAGTCTGGCCGCTGCAGCCCGCTTTTGCTCCTTTATTTAAATAAATAACCCATTCTGTGCTGTGCACGTCCCAAGCAGCGGGGGTGGCAGCCCGGGAGGCCTGCGTGGCAGCTGGTCGGCCCCTTCACTTGGGCGACTCCCGGCCGGGGGAGAGGGCTCGCTGGCTCTCCAGCCCACTCACCAGTCTCTGGATGCTTTGCAGTTCGCTGGCCGCCTCCTTGGCGGACCCGCTGGGTGACAGGGCACCTCGCGACGGGCCCCCCACTTTGCGGAGAGCCAGCTCAGGCAGGGGACTGGGCTCCCGGCTGTTGCCGCCCGCAGCCTTAGAGCCCTCGGCCGCCAGCCCAGCGGCGAGAAGGCTAGTGCTGGGTGGGATGGTGACCGGGATCTGGTAGGGGCTAAAGCGCAGGCGGGGCCGGGCACTGCCCAGGAATGGGCTTCGGGACAGGGAGCCCGCGGCGGCGGCGGCGGCCGCGGCAGCACTGGTGGCGGGCAGAGCGGAGGCCGCTGCGGCTGCTGCTGCCATGTAGGTGTAGGGATAGGGGAAGAGGCCTCCGAAAGTGGGCACTGGGATTCCCTGGAAGAAACAGAACAAGACAAGGATCAGACAAGCTGCCCGAGGTCCTTCTGAGGGTGTGCTGGGTGCTGTGGGTGGTGCCGCAGGAGGCAATCCTAAGGAATACAAAACAGCAATTCACACAACTGTCACCGGGCAGCACAGGTAGGCAGGAGCCAGTGCGGCAGTGGCGAACGCCCGCCCGGGGAGGCGAGACGACCGCAGGTTAGGATGCAAAGGCCTGGCACGCTCAGCTCTGGGCTGGGTATTAATTACAGAGTGGGGGGAGGGGAGGCGGAGGACATTCCAGGTGGCTGCACTAGCATGGGCAAAGGCCTGGAGGGAAGAAACAAGGCGGGCACAGGGCCAGGTGGCAAGCAGGCCGCCTTGGCTGCCTTGGGAGGTCCTGCTCAGCTAGGACAGGGCCCTCCCCACCCCTCCTGTCTGTGGGCGCCCATGGAGCCAGGCTGGGGCAGCAGGCTGAAGGAGGCTCTGGTCAAGCTTCCTTCTGCCTGTTCACCTGTTCCAGGCCCCGTGCCTGGGCCAGGAGGAGGGCACAGGTGCCAACCAGTTCATAAACTGGCCTCAAGACTCTACAAAGAGCTCCTGGCAGCACCTCAGCGGCAGCTGGGGGAGGAATGCAGTCTTTGGCCACGGAGCGCACAGCAGCCAGGAAACCCTGCACAAACTGCGCCTGAGTTCCTGCGGCCCGACTTGCAGATCCTCTGACCTCTGCCATGATGGCTCCCTCGGCAGAGTGGTGCTTACGGGGAGCAGGACGGGGGCTGACCGTGCTAGGCTCCTGGGAGCCTCAGGCCTGGCTCGAGCAGGGAGAAGCAAAGAGGGAGCTTAGGAGTGAGAAAATAGCCTTCCTAAGAGGGTCAAGCCCCGCTGCGCATTCAGATCCGTCATCTTAGGGTGGAAGGAAAGAGCGAGCCGTCAGACAGACCTCCCGGGGGGTTGGCTCTACCTGTTTGCTGGCATGGGCTGTGCTGGCCTGGGAACGCACCCAGCAGCAGCTATACCAGCTGAAGCCTCCTGGGTTCCTGGAGCTGTCACCTGGTCTTGCACCTGTTGACCAGGCTGTATGCAGAAGCCCTTGGCCTCTATAAAACCCGTGCTCACCACGAGTTTGGGGAGGAGGCATTCCTATACACACAGTCAGGGGTGCCGGTTAAGCCTCCACGCCCTGAACTCCATTCTCCGGAGGCTTCCCAACCAGCACAGAGCCCCAGACAGGTGCTGCTGGTGGGGGGACATGGCACACACCCAGATGTGGAGCTCTGCGTACAACGAATCTCAGAACGCCCCTCACCCAACTTTTAAAATATTTCCTTCTGAACCAAAGGCACTTTCTCAGACCTGAACTCCTCTTTTCCTTCCCTGGAGATAAGATCTCAAGGGTTCAATTTGCCAGAAACCTCAGAGGGAAGAAAATGAATGAGGAGATTCCAAATCTTTCCACAGGGAATATTCCACCCAAGTAACCAAAGAGGCTGCTTCCCCCACTGGGTCTCCTTATTGTGCCGCTGGCCACATTTTCATAAACTCCCTCCTGGGAGCTCAGAATTTCAACCAGGGCTGAGGGGTAGTTGGGGGGGGGGGATTGAATCCTCCTTCCCTGAGATGTGGCTGGGGAGAGGGGGGCTTGAGGTGGGGGGAGCCCAGTCTGTCCTTTGCCTGAGAGGACGACTTCCTGGAGTGCCTGAAAGGGAACAGGGGTGCCCAGGAGGAGCTCATGTGGGGGCCAGTTGTCCAGGGAATAATGCAAGCTTTGCCCCTCCCCTGTCCAGTCACCCTAGCCTCTCAGGACAGACAGTGAGCAGGGGCCTTTGCCGCCCCTCCCCCGGCTGCAGATTTTCCCGGGGCTAGGAGAATGGACGTCCTGAAAGCCAGGGGCACCCCTCGTAGGTGAGAAGAGTCTTAAGGGGTGCCTGCTCATTGGGGTTATAGGGTGGGAAATGGGTCCAGAGGCGGCAGGGACTCGACCAAGGGCACACGGGAGTCGGAACAGTGCCGTGGCCAGACCCTAAACCTAGTTTTCCTCCCAGAACCTAGGTGTGATGGAGAGCAGTGATCAGTTTTTCCCTGGATGGAGTTCTTGCCGCTGCAGGCTCCAGCGCCCGTGGCACCCCTCAACCCCTCTGCCCACCTCTGCTCTCCGCCCCGCGGCTTGGTCCCCCTCCCTCCTTTGCGCGCCGCCGCCGCCTCACAGGCCTTACCTGAGATGCCAGCATGTGCTGGGAGAGGTGGAACGGGAAGGGCGCGGCGGTGCTCGCGGCACTGGCTGCGGGACCCAGCCCGCCTGCGTCCAGCCCGGCGGCGCTCCCGGGCCCGGCGCCTCCGCCATTGCCGCCACCGCCTGCCACCGAGGCCAACAGGTGACCCATGCCCATGGCAGAGAAAGCGCCGGGGCCCATGGCGAACTGTCCTGGGTGCAGGAAGAGCGGCTGGCCGGCTCCCAGCGGCCCAAAGAACTGCTGCCCGTGCAGATGGCTGGAGAAGGCCAAACCGGGCAGGTGTCCGGCGCCCAGAGGGGACGCGCTGTCTGTCTGCACCACCAGCGGCGCCAAGCCCGGCTCCTTGCCCTCTCCCGCCTCCTTGCGCCCCTCGTCCTTCCTCCGGGCTTCTGCGCGTTCCTTCTCCAGGCTCCGCAGGCCAAACAGACCGTCCCCGCCGCTCTCGGCAGGCTCCTTGCCCCGCTCCGGACTGCGCCTCTCTCGGACGCGCTCAGGTTCTGTCAAGCGAGGGGGACTGGCGCTGTCCGGGGCCGGGCTGCGGCCTAGAGCCACCCCGGTGCGCTCTTCGCTCAGCCGTTCGGGCTCCGGGTCGCTGTCTGCGGCGCACGACTTCTCCTCGGCTGCGGGCAGAGAGGGCGCCTGGGGTGAGAGGGGTCTGGGCGGACAGCGACGTGAAGCCTTTCCCCAGGATCTGCGCCCGTCGGGGAGATTTGGCAAGGTCGACTCTGGCGGAGGCCGAGCCCCCGGGACTCGGAAAGTTGGGCGAGGGGCAGCTGCAGGTCGCCTAACCCAAGACCCCGTGTTGGCAGTTAAAGAGACTGAGAGGCGGCCGTGCTGCACGCAGTCCCACCGAGCGCCGGGGCCACGCTGCGAGCGCAGCCCCCCCAGCTGCCGACAGGGGGGTCTGGCGCAGACATATCGCTGACTCCCCATAACCCCGGCCTCCAAGATTAGCTGCTCGCTGAGCTAAAGGCCACCCCGGGGCCCGGAGCTGACCTTCCCCAGAGACCGCTCCCCGCCCAAGACGGACAACTCGACCCTCACCTCGGGCCCGATGCAGGCGCAGGGGGCTGGGCGCTGCGCCTGGGGAGGGCGGCGGTTCCCGCGCGGGCGGAGGGTCGCAGGACGAGGCGTCCGACTCGGCGCCGTCGCGTTCCGGCTTACAGTGCTCCTCGTACAGGCGCAGCGTCGGCAGCGTCAGTTGTTTCCTGGGGGCGAGCAGAGGGAGCCGGTCAGCCCGGAGCGCGCACCGGTCCCGCTTCTGGCTCCCCAGGACACCCGCCGCAGGGCCGGCCCGCTCACCCCTCACCTTTTTTCCCGCCGGCCGTTGCCGGTGTCCCGGAAGCCCTTGGCAAACGGGTTGTTATCGATCTTCAGCTGCGTGATCTGCGGGGACCACCGAGGGGGCGGCGCTAGGTCAGGCCGTGGCTATTCCAGCCGGGCCGGGGGCACCCCAAGGTCACCGGCCGCCGACCAGAGGAGCCCCGGGCCGTGTCCACTTGGCAACCCTCCCCCGCTCCGCCAGGGATGACACGCCCGAGGTAAAGCGACAGGGTCTGTCCTCCAGAAACTTACTCAAGGAATAACCCCTGAACATGCACGCACATGCCTGAAACTGTGCGTACACGGTCGAAATGAGCTCAAGTAAACAGAAACAGGCCAGCGCCGTCCCGCAAGTCAAACGACTCCGCGCGGGAACAGGCACACACAAACCCAGTAGGGCGCACCCAGGTCCGCCCGTACTTGCAGAGACCGGCAGTCACACTCACGGCCCGCGCGCACCTCTGCACGCAGAAAACAAATGCGCGCTCACATAACCAAACGAATTCACACGCCCCAAACGATGCGCGTAGAGCCAGGCGGGCACACGGATCCACCAAGCCAAAATGACCGTCACGGACACCGCGACTCTCGCTCCCACGGCAGTGGTGCGCATGGACGTGTCCCTACCCCACTGAAACCGGGGTGGAAATGTAGCAAGCAGGAAACTAAGCCCTTGGACTTAAAGGAAAAGTCTCAACGCCTTTCCCAAGGGGCCAGGGGCCTGGACTGACCGAGAGCAGTAGCGGGGGAACGCTCGGGGAGGGGGCTGACACCTGTCCCACCCTCTGGCTCCCTTGGGAGAGTGGAAGCTGGGCCTCGAGTTCTAGTACCAGGAGAGACCTCACTTCATTTAAATCCCTATCCCTGAGCCAAGAAAATAAACGAATAAAATGTAAAAATGTCAGCGCGGGCCCAGAGTCTCCGCTAATTACTAAGTAAACATCCCCACCAGAACCAGCGCCCAGCTGTCGGCGCGTCCCGGGGGAGCGTGTGTGTACGCGTCGTTCGTTCGCGAGCACGCGAGACGGCGCTGGGGAGAGGACCGGGAGCGGGCGCCGCGAGCGAGGGGCGGGTGGCTGGGTGTGAGCGCGGGGCCGGAGCCTGCTGGAGCTGGGCGGCGGGGCAGGGGCAGGGGCAGGGGCAGGGGCAGGGGCAGGGGCAGGGCCCACCCCGCGGGGCGCCGCGCGCACCTTGTCGTTCTGGTAGGCAGTGACAGCGATGAAGTCGGTCTCCGGGAACACGTAGGTGCGGAAGGTGCTGTAGGGCAGCTTGAGGATGTCGTTGGCGCGCACGATGTGGAAGCGCGGCTGGTACTTGTGCATGGAGTTCAGGATGGTCTGCGCAGAGGGCACGGCTCAGCCCCCAGCCCCCCGCCCCCCGCCCCCAGCCCGACCCCTGGGCTCCCCCGGACCCACCGTTTCTGCATCTCGGTCTCTCCCCTGGTTCTGCCTCCTCCACCCCCTTTCTCCTGTCTTCACTGCTCTTCTCTAGATTTCTTTTCTTTCCCGCACGTTCTTTCTCACCACTGATAACCACCCACTACCCCCAAGTCGGAAATGAAAGGAAGCAAAATGAAGCAAAGCAAAACAAAACACAAAAGCGACCTATAGGGCACTGGTAACCTCTCTCCCTGGTCCCATTGCTAAGCCCCTAGAAAGCCCTGGGAGAAGGGATTGGGACCTTCCCCAGGGGCTCACAGACTGCCCTATGGCATAACCGGCAGTCTCTTTTTGCCCCACGGACACCCCACCCCGGCTTGCTGGGACCCCGGCTTGCTGGGACCTCGGCTCAAGCAAAAATGAAGAGATCTCTAAAGTCTTTCCTCCTGGTTGGGCATCTGCCGGTGAGAGGAGGGGAGGGTTTCAGGGAGCCTGGAGAAGTTCTGGTTAAACTGTTAAACCCTCCAGTCTTAGGGAAAGGTGAGTGAGGGACAAGCTGAGGTCACGGGCAGGTCTTCTGAGCTTGAGACCTACAGGCCAACAGTAGGTGACCTCCCTAGGACCCACGCTGCTCACCCCAGCCCCACGGCACCTGCCTCCTGCCTGACTCTAGGAGTGACCTTCAAAGGCCAGAGGGCAACTAAAATTGTCTGTGGCCTGGAGCTTCCTGGCCGCCCACCAGACCGTTGTCCCAGGCCCTGCAGGTGTGACACACAGGCAGCATCCTGGGCACTCCCAAGCCGCTGCAGTGTGGGGTGCTCAGCCTCCAGACCCCGTCCCCACCTCTGCCCCACACTCACAAAGCCGTGCTTGTCAGAGATGTTGTTGGTCAGTTTCAGTTTGTGGAAGGCCACAGGCTTGGCCATCCACTGCTCCCCAGTGGCCGGGCTGTCCGGGTGGATGTACATGCGTTTGGGCATCTCTGGGTCAGCCTTGCCTGCCACCATCCAGCGGGAGTTGTGGAACTTATAGCGGCAATCATCAGCGGCCACAATGTCCATCAGCAGGATGTACTTGGCCTTCTTGTCCAGGCCACTGACTCGCACCTTGAAGGGGGGGAACATGCGCCTAGGAAGGAGGGAGGGGGAGATGCCATTGGGATCCCGCTCCTGGACATCCAAGGACCCCTCTGTCCCTGCTGTACTCCCCCCGCTGCACCCCAGGGCCTGCAGGTCGCTTCTGAGTTTCCTGTGGTCCCCGATCTGCCCTCTTCCCACTGCCCCAGGCCCCGACCTGTGGTTGCTACTGCCAGAAGATCCTGATAACTCTGCAGGCTGGGCCCTCTGTTATAAACGGCTTCACCTCTGCTGGTGCTCAGATTCGGGGAACCCTCTCTGACCTCGGATGAAAGAAATCTAGGCCCTATAGGAACACTCCCGAGTAATCCTGAGATTCCTCCAGGACTTAAATCCATTTGGAACAGAAGTTCCCAGAATGAAGTTCAGAGGGTGTTTATGTAGGGGAGCAGGCTGCAGTTCGGGGGAAGAGGGTGAGCACAAGGCCTGGATTTGCGCAGGCTGAGTCGCAGGGCCCAGGGTCGGAGACTGTGGCTTCCTTCTGGCTTTATGGCCTGGGCTAGCCGGTGCTACCGAGCTCCAAGTTCCGGCCAGGGCAAGACTCTCCAAGGCCGGGTCAGGCTGCAGGCTGGGCCTAAGCAGCCGGCCTGGGGCCGGTCGGGGCGCGGGGGCCCCACTGCAGGCTCCAGGAGCGTCCGGAAGACGCCAAATTTCCTTGGGGCTTCGAGAGCCATCGTGCAGCCGCCAGGCGAGGCCACCGGGTTGAGTGGACCGGTCAGGGCCGAGCTTCGGGCCTTCCCGGCTTTGAGACCCAGAACGGTCGGGGCTATTCTTTTGGAGCATATTTTCGTTTTATTTTATTCGTGAGATTTTGATGTTTTCGTTTTAAAAACTAAACAAACAATTCGCTCCGGTGCCAATCGAGAAAAGCCAACTTTTTGTCGTCCGCGGGAGCCAAGCGTGGCGCCAAGGCCGGAGCCCGAGCCGCGAACTAGGGGGGCCGGCGCCGTCGTGCTGACAGTCCCAGTCCGAAGACACCTTCTAGCACCTTGCTTTCTTCCTATTGCTCGTTCGCCGGCTCCCTACTCCAGATTTGGTGAGGACAACACCCGTCTCAACTGAGGTACTGGTCCCACAGCTCCTTGGCCTCCAGCGTCACCTTCGGGTCGTCCTCCACCTCGTCCTCCGGCTCCAGGCTCTTGAGCGAGCGCAGATGCGCAGCGGGCGGGTGCGGGCCGAGTGCCGAGACGTGCAGCCCCGCCTCGGCCGCCGCTGCGGCCGCCGCCGCCGCGGCCGCCGCCCCCGCCAGGCCCGGGTCGGGCAGCGGCTTGGCCAACGCGCCGGGCGGCAGCGCGAGCGCCGGGAAGAACGAGGGCTGCGCCGCCGCCAGGAAGGCGGACATGGGGAAGTCGGCGGGCCGTGGCGCGTGGAAAGGGTGGTAAGCCATGGCGCTGGCTGCCAGCGCCGGCTCTCTCATCGGGACATCCGGCCCAGGCGCCCGGGGGCCGGGGCCGGGGGCGCGCGGCTCGGACCCCCGGCCCGGGCGGCGGCGCGCGCGGAGGACGGACGGCCCCGGCAGCGGGCGCGGCAGCGGCTCCGCTCCTCCCGGCTCCCCGTCCCGCGCTCCGCCCGGGGCGCCCGGCTCTGGGCGCGGGGGTGGAGGGGGCTTTGCGCGGGGCTGGGCTGGGCTGGGCTGGGTTGGCCCGCTTCGGCGCCGGGGACCACGCGCGACTGGCAAGATCTTGTCGTGATCTCTGGAAAACTGTGACTATCTCACATGTCCTGCCCTGCTCGGATCCCCTGCGCTAACGAGCCAGGCCCCCCTTGATTGCTGATTTTACGCTTTTTGGACCAATTGTGGGTCTCCGGGGGCGGGGTTTTGACAGCTCAGGCCAAGCTCCGGCCGAGGGAGGGGGGCCGGGGAGAAGGTGTCGGAAGCCTCAGCAGTAAGAAAACATGTCAACAGAATAAAATATTAACCAATGACGGGCCGGCGGGCCCCGAGACCCCTCCCCCTGCCCCGGCCCCCACCCCGCCGCCCGCGCCCGCCGCCGCCCGCGCGGGGACTGGAAGCGTGGAGGGCCGACCCGACCCGCCGAAGAAGCCTGAGGCGGGGGGCCTCCGGGCCCCGGGGCCTTGGGGAAGAACCCCGAGCCGCAGCCGGCCCCAAGTGCAAAGCATTGACACGGCCCCGCGAGGAGAGAGGGCGCCCTCCTTCTCCCGCGCCCGGAGGCCAGGCCGCTCTGGCCCGCGCCCCAGCCCGGCCTCCGACCCCGCTGCCGGCCGCGGCGCCGCCCCGGGGTCCCCGCGCTGCGGAGGGAGGCCGGTGGGCGGGTGAGTCGGGAGGCTTGGGCGGCTGAGGTCCCGGAGCGGAACCCAGGTGGCGGGAGCCGGTGAGTGGAGCCGTAGCAGAGCCCTGATGGGGCCGGCGCGGGCGGGAGCGGGATGCAGCTGAGCGCTCGGGAAACGGGGGGAGCCCCGGCCCGCCCTCCCCTTGCTGGAAGCCTCGGAGGAACCTGGAGTTCCCAGCAGGCCCTGGACGCAGCCCAACTTCTGTCTGGGTCGGCGACCCAGCTCTGAACCCTCGGGCAGCCAGGAGAGCGGGCCCTCCGGGCCAGGGAGGTGAGCGCACCTTCCGCTGAGCACCGGACCTCACCCGGGCGCAGGAGGATCCCCAGCTGGGATTCTGCACCCGCGGCCGAACGAATTTTCGCTGCATCCGGTACTGGAGACGCGAGTCTCTTTTCATCCTGCACGCCCGCATCCTCCCTCCGCTCCCCGCCACTTCGCTCGTTTGTTTGCGTCTCTCCGAGGCGCAAGTGTCCCAAGTTCGAGAGTGCTGAGTAACGCGGGTGGGAGTCGGGGTGTCTGCGAGCAACTGTGGCTGAACCCTCTGTGGGATCAGTCCGTCTTCCGTCTTCTGGCAGCCCCAGTATTCCCACCCCCTCTCCCGCTGTGAGAGGTTGGGGCGGGGGGGAGGCAGAGAGAGAGAGAGAAAGGGAGAGGTGCTGGTGTGTGTGCTGCCCTCTGGGCACAGCGAGCGCTGAACGCGAAGGTGCGCGCGGGCAGAGGAAAGCGACCGCACACCTGCCTCGGATCCGGCTCGGGCCGCGACATTCGCTCGGGTCGGTTCCTGGAGGTCATGTTCCGAAAGCCCAGACGGAACCTGCACTGGCCATGGGGATCCTCCCACCCTCACCAGTGCGGTTGAGTTGGGCCGGCGCCGGCCCACTGCCCGCCCGGAGGGCGCGTCCATCCCCCTATCCGGCAGTGACCTGGCCTGGGTCGTCCGAGGGCCTCGGGGCCCAGCGCCTGCCGTAAGCAGACCCATTGCCCCGGACCGTGCGGGCGCTGCACCGGCAGAGGCCGTTGGGTCTCCGAGACCTTGTTATCTATGTTTCGGAGCCAGCCCCAAAGGCTGTCGCAGCTACTCATAGCCACACATACGCGGCCGCTGCCCCCACGGGGTTTTCTCCACGACCTCGCTCTTGGTTGGGTCTCTGCTCTCTGCCCGGAACGCGGTCTACGCAGCCGGCGCAGGATCCCTCGCAGCGTCGCACAGGAAAAACGCTGTGGGCTTCCACGGGGGCGAGCGGCGGCCCCTGCGGAGGGGCGTGTGTGGACGCGTCCGTGCGGTCGGATGGGCGGCTTTGCCCAGCCTGGAGCCCAGGCGCGGCCTGGGGGCCGGGAACACGCTCTCCAAGTCGTGTGTGTGTGTGTGTGTGTGTGTGTGCGCGCGCGCACGCGTGCACCTCGAAGGGTTTGCGTTTTGGACATTCTCCAGGGAAGGGTCCGAAGCTGGCCCAGAGATTTTGAAACAAACAGGCCTGGGTTATTTGCTCGCGAGACCCGGCAGCGACGGTGTAGCGGCGGCATCTGGGGACTGCGATTCCACCTACGGAGCCACGGGCCAGTTCCCCGGCGGCTACCGGCTTCTTTACCGGCCAGGGTCCCACCGTCTGCCCCGCCCCACCGTCCCGCGGCCCCCCCCCCCCCCCCCCCCCCCCGCCAACCCCTGCAGCCGAGACAGTCACCGTCTCATCGAGAGCGGGCGCTGGAGAGGCCGAGCGGCCCTGGAACGGCGCCGGCCCCTCCCCCGCCTCTCCGCTCCCCCCTCCTTCCCAGGAGCCGGCGCCCCTGGGGGAGTCCCCGGAGCCGAGTGTGCGTGTCTCTTTAAGAGGCCCCGGGGGGCGCCTCGCGGGCCGCCCGGGGCTGCAGGGGGAGGGCACGGGCGGGGGCGGCTGGCGCCAGGCGGCCGAGGCTCCACAACAAAGCTCCAGCCCCTGTCACTTCGCATCGGCCGGGCCCCGCAGACGGGCGGGGGACGCGCGCTCAGCCGCCCCTCCCTCTCCCGGGCGGTCCCGGGCTGGGGCGTCGGACGGGCGCGGCCTCGCGACCTCAGTCTCGTTGCGCACGGTCGGCCCGCTCCGCGCTTCCCGCAACGAGGACATGAGGCGAGGGCGGCCCGGACTCAGTGGGGCCGCGGTCCTCTTCCCGCGCCTGCTGCCCGCCGGTCCTTGGGCCCTGCCTCGTCTCTCGGGGTCAAGGGTCTGGCTGAGACCGTCCCGGGAGTTGGGCTTCAGAGTCGCCGGGGTCCCCGCTGGTGTCCTCGCCTGTGTGGCTGGGCGTGGGTTTGCGTGACCCGTGGAGGGGATGGCGGGAGCTCCTGGGGGCGTGTGGCCAAGGACTCGATGCAAGCCCGAGTAACCAACCGGGCGCTGGCGCGAGGCTGGTACCCCGCGGCGGTGGCACAGGCCGCGCGTGGCCCTGTGTGTGACAGTCCGGGGCCGCAGGCGCACGTGTAGCCCTTTCGACGTCCCCGCCAACACGCTCTGCTTCCCATCCCCGGCCTCTCCGAGGGCCCCGCGCCTCCCGGAGCCTTGGCGCCAGCCAGCCCGGTTTAGCGGCCGAGATGGGCTCCCCCGCGGTCCCGGGTCTGGCTGGGGTGGGGGCCGCGGCCTCGGTGACCCCAGCCCGCAGCGGCCCGGCCTGTCCCGTCCACTTAAACAAATTGCGGCTGACAGGCGCGCAGTCTCTCTGGAGCCGCCGCCCGCCGCTCGCCTCCCTCCCGCCCCAATTACCCCGCGCAGGGTCGGGCCAACGGGCTGGGGCGGGGCGGGGGGCGCGGGCAGAGCAGGCGGCGCGACCCCTCCTGGTGGCGGTGTGGCCGCGGCCTTGCGCCAGGCCTGGCGGCGGGGACACTTCCTCCAGTCGGGCCCCGGGAAGTGCCTCGGCAGAAGCGGCCTGTGTGGTCTGGTACCTCGCCTTCCAGGCTGTTGCGAAGGCGGGGCCCAGCCCGGCTTCCCGGAGCGGGGACAGACCCAGCCCTCGAGGGGCGTCGCTGTGGGCTGGATGGGGCGAACGAGCGGCTTGGCGACTTCCCCAGGGCTTGGGAGACCCTGTAGCCTGGGGGGGGGGGGGGTTCCAGCCTACGCGATGTGCGGCGGCAGCCTAGATGCGCCGTCTGCGAACCCGCGTGTGCGCGGACGTGCTCGGGCGTGAGCTCGTGGGCGTGGGCGTCCAAGACTGCGGAGGCGGGCCCTCGGCTGAGCGGCCTCGGAGAAGGGGCCAAGCTCAGGTAGAATCCCCAGGACGCGCCCACCTGCGGCAGGTGGGCGGGACTGCCCGGCGCGCTCTCGCCAGGGTTGTCGATTCGGTCTCAGAAACGCTTTCTCCGGGAGCGCGGCCGGCCGGGATTCCAGAGAGCAGCTTCGGGCTCGACAAGCCACAATCTGGGCTACAGCTGCGCCACCTGTGCCCTCTCCGCCCCCCGCCCCCCTGCGTCGGGCGCCAGTGAGTTCCCTGGTCTGGCAGTCTCTGCACCTAAAACCACCTTCTGCCTTTCTGACCCTGAGCCCGCCCTGGTCCTCCTCTCTCCCCACCCCCACCCCTTTCTTGCAGAGGAGGAGCCCGGAACCCAGAGGTGCAGTAAGGTGCACCCAAGGCCACACGGACTTATGCTGGTGGAGCCAGGATGGGACCCCGGGCCCTTAAAGGAGAGCAGGTGCAAATGCACTCCTTCCCAGGAGATGACACTGCTGTGAAGCGGCCACCTCTGCCCAGGCAGCGGGATCAGACTGTGGCCCAGGCCTCCCAGCTCCACCCCGGGGAGCGCTCTACAAACAGGGCACACAGAAGGCCCTCTCTCTTCGCCCCTAGAGCCTCCAGGTCTGGGCTGCCCTCCCAGTTACACAGGGACAAACAGTCTCACAGCCAGACAGGGGGCTTGGGAAGCTTGAAGGGGTAGGGCACCCGGGTCAGGAGCACGGGGTCCCGGATTGAGTGGGGGCAGCTCAGATTCTCGCCCCTGTGAGGGGGCTGGCTGGAGTTGGTGAAGCAGCAAGGTGCAGACAGGGATCAGCTGACTACCAGTGTGACTTTGTGACCTTGGACAAGGCCCTGCCCTTATCTGGGGCTCAGCTTGTCATCTGCAAAATGAGGACCGAGCAGTGCTATCAGGTACCTTCTGGGCTCGAGTCTCTGATCTGTGAAAACCATAAAGTCGGCCCTGAGAAGCCGTCTCTGGTGCAGCCTGAGGCTGCCTGGCCTCTCCCGCTTCCAGGGGAGCCGCCCCAGTGCCAGTCCTGTTACACTTGCCTCCCGTCAACGACAGACTCTCCTTGAGCTGCCTCTCTGGCACCCCTCGGTTTCTTGATCCAGATCATGAAGATATATGTATTTATTTCTCTGTCAAATTGAGAAGTCCACAGTAATTTGCTACTCAGGTCACATGGTTTCCTCAAGGTCACCGGCCCACCACAA